ATCGTGAAAATAAACAATGAATATCAAACCCCTAAGGCTTTCTTATTTATGGACCAAATTTGACCTAATTTGGTGAGAGTATACCTGAACCAGACCCCATTAGCGTAACAGCGAGTTTTTTTCAATAATTGCAAAAGAAAAAAAAAAGAGAATTTTCCCAAAGTGTAAAAAAATCTCTTCTAAATTTTGGTTGCGTAACCGCTTGCCAATGGAAAAGTAATATTTTTTTTGCAAATATCTCTCTATTACATTGATGGCAGCCTTGCCATCTTTGTTTTCTGGAAAGTTTCATGTCAAAAGTAAGAAAACTAAGGAAGGAGTAGGGATAAAACTTCCCCCCAAAAAATCATAATTTGCAAAAAATGACAATTATTGTGAAAATTCACTATATTAACCCGCCCTCATGTTTTCAAAGGCAATTTATTAGGAGAATAAAGACTTTCTCATTTTCTCCAGGCTATTTTTAGACCTAAAACCTGGTTGACCTGAAAAAAAATCAGCTAACATCTCAATTTGCATGGCCTGATCCAAAATTCTGCAAAATCAAAGGTCGCTCCTCCCCTTAAAAAGCATCCACTTAACATAGCAAAACAAAATTACAAGTACGTACAAATTTGAGTTTCCCCTTGGTGGGCTTGCTGGCGACCAGGTCGGTGATGATGGACTTAGTCCTCTTGGTCAGCTGGAAGTCGTCGTCAAACTCAAGGTCATCCTGGGGCTCCCAAGTCAGCAGCTCCTCGCCAGGGTCTTCGCTGGCCGTCGGGTACAGCATCTGAGCCGCGGGGATGGCACAGTAGACGATTTTAGCACATACATACGCAGACACACATACACATGCGCAGAAAGAATGAAACAGAGACACATACACAAAAACGCAGACACAGAGACATACATTGAAACACACACACACACAAACACATAGACACAGACACCCATTCACAAAACACACACACACACAAACACACATCGACAAAGATTTGACAAACACACACAAACAACACACTCACTCACACATATTACGTGTGAGTGAGTGTGTTGACATATACTCATACACACACACACACACACACACACATACACACACAGACAGACAAACACATACACACAGACACATATTTACAAACACACACACACCACACATACACCCATACACGCACATATGACGACACAATAAACGTCTTGGGAAGAAAGAAAATTGATAGTACCTTTCCAGTGACACCCACCTACCACCCACCTAAACTCTGTACAACCTGTTGGCTTATATCTAAATAAACATGATGGCTGATCAACTGATTGGTCATGTGGTTCAAATTCCTTTCCTCTGACGGTGTGTCTTGGAGTAGCGGTAAGGCTCTCCTTTCTTACGTTTTCCTTGTGGATTCCACGTCAAAGCATGTCTGATGATGCTTGTCGGGGGTCTCCTCAGGGTGTCCCCAATCCATTTCCATTTCTTCACCTGTGTGTCTTCCTTTACTGGCCGTTGGCTTGTTCTTTCCCACAGTTGAGCATTTGTGACTCGATCGTACCACTTGTTCCCCACTATCCTTCTTAGGCATCCATTTATGAAGCTCATTCCCATAGGGGGAGGTGTTTCTAATCACACATGTGCACATCTCCATCTCGCGACCTCAATGCCCTCTTGTCGTATCTCCATTTTTTTTGCACAGTAAAAATCCGATTTTTCTTACTTAAGCTCACTCTTTGATATGAACTAAAAAAAAAAAATGGAGATATGACAAGAAAAGAAAGCCTTGAGGTCACGGTCTGTCTACTGAGATATTGCATCTCCCTCTGTTCGGGTCAGCCCCACCACCCCCACACTACAAGTTGTTTCCATGCAGCCCGCTCCCTAAACCATTTAAATTGTGTCAGTTTTAGATTTAGTAAGAGTTTTACTGCACTTGCAACACAATAAGGTCATTTAAGTGCCGAAGAGTAGATTATGTGTTACAAGAGGAGTAACATGCACAAAAAAGACGGAGGGGAGATAAGAATGATAGATGTGTGATAGGAAAGAAGGAGCAAACAACACCAGAACACCCGCCAACCACCCACAAATTGTGTCATAGGGGGCGTAATTTAAAACATTGACAGTAATGAAGACTCTTTGTTTTAGTTTTAGTAGAGGTTTTACGGCGCTCCCAACTGCATTTATAAGGTCATATGAGCGCCAGAAGATTAGAGGTGTTACAAGAGAGTAACAAACATAAAAATGAAGGAGGGGAAGATAAGGACGACAGATGTCTGATAGGAAAGAAGGAGCGAACCACACCAGAGCACCCGTCAACCACCCACACGATGACTCTGACTCACCTGGTAGTTATCCCAGGTGCTGTTCTCCGAGAGGGAGCCAGAGATGTTGTGGAGATCCTCAGCATCGGACGTCGCCGCCTCCAACGGGGCTGTCACGTATTCGTCTGTTCCAAAAGACAAAGTGGGTGTTATTCTTCTTTTCTCTTTTCTGCTTTAAACATGATTATCAATTTCTGTCCCTCACAAAAGATTTGTGCCTCATGCTGCCCTCCCCCCTTCCAACCTAAAAAAACAAAACAAACAAACAAAGTAACCAAAACAAACAAACAAACCAAAACAAACAAACTGACAAAATAACCAAAACAAACAAACAAACAAACAAACCAAAACAAACAAACAAACCGAACGAACATACCAGCTAAACCTCTCAAAAATATAACCCTCCCCCCAAAAAAAACAACAACCCAACAACAAATAACAAACAAATACACCCACAACCCCCCCCCCCCCCCCTAAACAAACAATTAATGCAGCTAGTTTGACATCTTTACTTCAAGACAAGGAGATCTGGTGCTTTATTGCTACACTGTAGTTCTTTTTGTATGGAAAACACAAGCACAACACAGTCACTATGTAAAGCAACCAGCCTATTTCAAACAAGTATAACAAATAATACACACACACACACACACACACACACACACACACACACACACACACACACACATACACGCGCGCGCGTGCAAACACACACAAGCAAACACACACACACAGACAAACACACACATAATATATTAAATAAATATATATACACACATACAAAAATGCATATATGTATATTCGTGTAGAAATATTATACAATATATTAACTCATATAGATTGAACTCTTCAGGGAGAGGGGGGTGGGTGGGTGGGAGGGGGGCGATTATGTTCGAGGTACCAACCACGGGACTGTAAAAACTGATTTAGTTTTAGTAGAGCTTTTACGACAATCACAACTGCGTAAGGTCATAGGAGCGCCAGAAAATTAGAGGTGTTACAAGAGAGTAACAAGCATAAAAAAGAAGGGGAGATAAAAGGACGATAGGTGTTTGATAGGAAAGAAGAAGCAAACCACACCAGAGCACCCGCCAACCACCCACTGTAAAAACTGAAAATTACACTGGCGTCAACATGTTCCGACAGTTTGAGAAATACATGACCGTACGTGCAGTGTGTCTGTTCCACTCAGTGACAGAAGTCACGTACATTATGGGACAACCTGACTTGATTGGGTTCTTTTTTTTTTCGTAAGAATTTTACGGCACTTGCAACACAATAAAGTTATATAAGTGCCGAAGATTAGATGTGTTACAAGGGAGTAACAAACACAAAATAGAAGGAGGAAAGATTAAAGGATGATAGATGTTTGATAGGAAAGAAGGAGCAAACCAGACCAGAGCACCCGCCAACCACCCACTGATCGGGTTCAAAGTAGCAGGAACGCGATCACAAGATCAAAGGGAAAACCGATAGGCGTTGATAAAACTGATGGTGATAGGTTGTGTGAGCTCTGAGCCAAGTACCGTTACTCGAAAAATAAAAAATAAAAAAGGCTAGACACAATGGTCGTTTCTTTAATTAAGTGTACACGCCAATATTAATAGTGCTGTGTGTTTGGTTTTAGTCTGATGGCTCACAGCGCACTTCATAACAACCCGTAATGCATAGTAAGAATTCCTCCCCCCCCCCCTTTCTCTCTCTCTCTCTCTCACACACACATAGCCAGAGACAGACACACAAACGGAACAGATAATATAGACACCAAATCACACACACACACACACACACACACACACACACACACACACACACACACACACACACACACACACACACACACACACACTTTTTTCGGATGAGATCAAAACTTTTGAACGTCCCTCTTTTCTATGCGACAGAAACTGATGCGGCTTTCAGACATAATCTTTGTTCGAGTTTAATGTCCCACACACGTAAATAATTACAAAGGTGAGATTTTCATTCGATATTATCTAATCAGAATAAAAACCCAACCTGTTAGAGAACAGATAAAAGCAAATACTAAAGCCCAAACAAATAAATAACACCCCCCCCCCCCCTAAAAAACCAACAAAAAACCAACTCCACAACAACAATTACACAAACAATACAGGCAGAAGAAAACAAATTAAACCCAAACAAAAAACCCCAACAACCCCACCCCCTCAAAACCCACCACGCATTTAGGATATAACGTACCACCACAGACAGGCAGACAGACAGGCAGACAGACAGATGGGTAGATTAGATAGACCCAACATGTGGTAAACAGAATAGATAGAAACAGAGACAAATAGATTATTACAGACTGAATAAAAATACTTAGAAAGGCTGACAAATCCATGATATTGGGGAATCTTTTGAGAATCGTCCTCCTCCCCCCCCCCCCCCCCCGGGAAAAAACCCCAACAACCCCCCCCCCAAAAAAAAACAACAAAAAAACCCCCCCAACAACAAAAAACAAAAACCTTCAAGAAAACAAAACAAAACCCAGATCTAAATAAATAAGAACTTAAAAGAGAAAAAAAAAAAAAAAAAAAATTGGCTCTCCCCCCCCCCGATTTGTCCCCGCCAAAACCATACCCGGGGGTTTTGATTATAATTCGCCTCTCGCCTGTCGTAGCTGTCCGTGGCACTGGACCTGCTGTACGGCTGGCCGGCCCCGATGACACCCCCGCCACTTCCCGACACGCTGACCTCCTTGCCGGACTCCAGGCTGGACCGGTGCCGCAGTCGCCTGGTCCTCCGCTGCTGGCCTTTGACCCTGCCCGGAGACGACGGAGCCTGACCTCTGACCTTGCTGGGAGAGGGCGGGGCCTCGCTGTCGGAGGTCGCCTCCGCGGAGAGGATGGCGGTGTAGTGTCCGGTCTTGCTGTGAGAGCAGAGGAGGGATGAGGAGGGGACAGGCGTCTCCGATGTGGCTAGAGGACCTCCGCCGTTATCAGAAACGAGACCGTTCTCAAGTGTCATTCTGTCCGCGGCTGCAGGAGCGACCTCGCTCGAGTATTTGAGTTTGCGTCGAGTCGAGGAGGAGGCGTGCGAGTGATGAACTTTTGTGGAGGGGGAGGGGGGAGACTGGTGTTCCGTGGAGGATAAGGCACGGCGGAAGCCCCGGCGGGGGTGGTGGTTGTGCTGGTGACTTTCGCGGGGGAATGTGGATGAATGAGAGGAGGGCGAGAAGAAAAACGATGAGGCCGCCATCATGGGCGAAGCGGCGTTGGAAGAGGAGGAATCGGTGTCTGTCTGGCAGCGCTGGAAGATGTGGTCAATTGCACTTTCGGAGGAGGCCACGTGATGATGATAATTATGGTGGTGGTTGTGGTGAGCGACCGAATCGACAGCGTCCATGGTGGTGGCTCCACCCATTTTGTCACCGTGGCCGCTGCCCCTGGAGTTGCTGCTAAAGTCCTGGAGGCCGACCACGCTCCAGGGCCGGTCCTTGCCGCGGCGGCGCGAGGAGGAGCTCTCTCCCGTCTGCTTCCGGAGCCGCGGCGAGTCGACGAGTGTGTGCGGGATAGAGCGCGGGGAGCGCGGGACGCCGGAGCACGTGGTGCTGATGATGTCGTCCGTGCTGGTGTTGCGCGCCGACTCTGTGGCCGAGTCCAGGTTGATCACGCTGCCGATGAGCGTCTCGTCCGCGTCGTCTGTGGCGGTGGAGAACTCGTCTCTGGTGCCGCCGCTGCCGCTGGCGTTGGCCGCTGCCGCTGCAGCCGCCTCGTGATCCGAGTTGTCTTCGCCGCTCGCGTCGCACGAGCTCTCCACGGCGCTGCACGAGTCGGTCTGAGTCTGTTTGGAGGGGGACAGCTGGTGCTGTTGATGCTGCTGCTGCTGCTGCACTACTATTGGGCTCTGAAGATGCTTGCTTGGAGAGGACGGAGCGGAAAATGTAGTCTTGGTTGGGCTGGGAGGCTTCACCAAATCCTCAGCGTGCTCGATGAGGTAGCGGATGGATTTCTTCTCCTTGGACTCAGGAGCGCTGTCGGACTCAGAGATGTCGAGCAGCTCGTGCAAGGGCTTGATCGCCAGCATCGTCACGTCCTCTGTGTCGTCGTCATCGGGGATATACAACGGGCTGACAGTGGCGGAAGACGCTGAGGATTTCCCCGTGGCAACCAACTCGCTGACCCCGAAGTGACCCCGAACGGCCGATGATGATGATGATGATGATGATGATGAGACCACTGCCGCACTCCCTCCTTCACAGTTACTCCCACTGTGACCACGAGAAGACATCTGTCCAGGGAAACAGGAACCATTGTCATCATCTTTCAGTTCCGAGTACACCTCCTTCACGGCTGCCTCAAATCTGTCTGCCTCAGGACGGTACCCACCATGACCATCACTGCTGCTTTTCACGTCGTCTTTGACCCTCTCCGGGCCGGAATCTGTCGTGTCCCCGTTGTCGGTCGTTCTGTCTGTGGAGTCGAGATCCACGTGCGTCATGTAGTAGTACTGCGGCTTCACTTTAGTGGAGGGCATGGTGACCTTATCGCCTAACGGCCCGTCGCTGGCCACTTCGCACTTCCCCGGGAACTTGTACTCCAGGTCGATCTGGTGCCTCATCACGTCCACCTCGTCGTTGCTCTGACTCTCGCTACTGTAGCCGATGTCCCTCACCTCGCTCTTACTGACCACGCCCACGATCACAGGGGGCGGAGCCCTGTGGGTGGAGGGCGGGTCCAACTCTCCGTCACTGCTCGTGACCACGTAGCCACCCGCTCCGACACCAGCACCAGCACCACCACCACCGTTACCTGCACCACGACCGGCCGCAACACCAGGAGGAGAAAGGATACCACTGCTGCCCGAACTCCGAGGCGAGTCGCCCATTTTGGACTCGGCCTCGCTGATGTTGGCGCTGTCGCCGCTGCTGCGGTCAAAGAGCAGTGACCGCTTGACCTTTAAGCTCTCGTGCACTGATGAGTCGTCGTAGTCGTCGTCATCTTGCAGGTCAGTGATCAGAACGTCACCATATTCGTCGTCCGTGTTGTCGACGACATGCTGGAAGGCCGAGGAGTTCACGCCAAACCTGAGGAGCTCTTCTATCGGAGCCGCGTCCGGAGTGACGGGGCTTAGGCCCCCGCTGGAGGAAGTGGGCGTGGGAGAGCCGCGCTTAGCGGGACTGGCTCCTCCCCCACAGCTCCCCCCGCTGCTGTTGCCGGTGTCCGGGAAGGGCCGCTTGCCGAGAGGACTGTCGGGGCTCAGCAGGACCGTCGACGGCCGGGCAGGACTCCTCTGGCCGGGAGGGGTGATATCACCGCCGCTGCCACTGAACCGGGGGTCGAAGCGACTGCTGGGTCGAGGGTCACCTGACGCTCCGTCTACTCCTCCTCCTACTCCTCCTCCTACTCCTTCTCCAATAACGTCAGACGACGAGTATGGAGAACGAGACGGGGAGCCCAGAGGGGATGCCAACGACAACGGGAATGATGCGAAGTGATCTGCAGCGTTGAAGCCGGTTACATCCCCACAACCGCTGAAGCTGTAGCTGTCGCAGCTCTCACTGGTCACAGACGAGGAGCTGGCACAGTCCGCTAGATCTTCCTCACAGCGACCGATGAAGAGTAGACTGTCGTCATCCAACTCAATGAAGCCCTGGGCGTTCAGGTTCTGACTGGAGCGGCCAAACAACGACTCGTCCAGCACAGGCAGCTGGAAACTGCTGAAGTCCAAGCCGGGCGAGCTGACACCCTGAGAAAAGGAGAAAAACAAGAGAAATAAATTAATAATAATGACAACATGAATGATAAAATTAAATCATAGTAACAATGATAATAACATTAGATCTAATAATAATACATTTCAGTTAAATAGTGCACTTTCACTTAAGAATGAAAAATTGTTTAAAAAAACCACACGAACTCACAGGGTTCCAATAGTGATCCTTTCTCTCCATCTCTCTCTCTCTTTTCTTTCCATCTCTCTTTCTTTCTCCCTCTCTCTCGTTCTTTCTTTCTCTCTCCCACAAGAACTTGCACATATATACACACCCACGCACACATCGATAACGACACACGGCCACTTGGTACAGAATAGCGTGAAAAAGAAAACTAAAGTTTTTTAGCCGGTTACACAACCAATACAACCCCCCCCTCTCTTTCCTCCCGAAATGAATCTATTAAAATATATCCAGTCATGTTCGAAACCATCAACAGCCAACAACAGGAGCCTTGAAGTCAATCACATTGTGCTCCTCCTCCCCTCCCCCTTCCCACTTTTTTCCCCTTTACAATATTAATCATTGCTCTCTCCTTTCTCCCTTCCTTCCCATCTCTGTCCCTCTGTCTGTTAGTTTTTTTAGTTTTAGCAAGAGTTTTACGGCACTTGCAACACAATAAGGTCATATTAGTGCCGAAGATTAGAGGAGTTACAA